GGGACGCGCCGCGACCGGGGGTTTTCGCTTGGCATACGTAATCCACGGCACCATGGGCGCCAAGGAGAAAGTACAAACACTAAATGAAAACCTCGCAGGGCCGATGTTCAGTTCGAGAAACAACTGAAAAGGACCTCAACTTTGCATCCACATCATTTGCTTGTAACAAGTTTTTTGTTTTCATGCACTTTTCCATTCTGTTACATTTACCATGAAAAGTACAACTACATCTTTAACTAAAACAAATGATACCGTAGTTCACGGCTGGAGGGAGACAATTTTCAGGTTGCTATCCGAGCAAATTGATATTTTTCAACCCCCCCCCCCATCTCTTAATTTTTTTCGCTTCCCCCTGTCTTCCTTTATATTTTTCATTTTTTTTTTTTGCAAAGTGGGGAAGGCAACCGCTTCTTTGTTCCCCTCGTATACAACGCCCATGCTGCACGCCCAACATTCATAACAAAATCCAGGGTTTTTTTTTCGTATTAAAACATACATGTATTATTACAGCATGCTAATGTTGGTGTCGTTCCAGTTTGTTTGTTTTTTTGTTTTTTTGGTGAAAGTCAAGAAATGGTTCCTCATTGCTGAGTTGGATACTTACCATCAACCCGCATTTCAGACAGGCGTTCCAGAGTCGCTTTGATCCAAATTAAAGGCAAGATTTAATTAAGTTCGACGTCTGAAACAAAAAGGAGCGACTAGGCGCGCCAACAGACGACAGATCGACACTTGGGGTCATTAAGAACGTCTCAGGGGCGATTCGGTCTCAGAAATCGCTCTGGTATGAGCCAAACTCAATGCAAATCCATGTTAACCGTACAATGTATATTAATAAATGGTGACATATCCCAAATCCATCGATAAAAAATAATATTTCAGTTTGTGTCATCGCGGACTAAATTCACACTCGACTCGTGCGTCGCTACATGATTAATTAAAATGGACATTTAGAAACCAACAAATATGGAAAGCATGCATCGGATAAGACTTAGAGTGTCAAGTCTGGAGTGATACACTTTGAAGTCGTTTGCATTTACGTTTGTAATTTCGGGTTTCCTTAGCGACCCGAATTTTTATTGCCTCCCTATGGACACTGAACTCCGCGACTGAATTCGAATAAAAATTTATGGTTTGAGGCAACTTGCTGCCTTAAACCATAAATTTTTATTCGAATTCAGTCGGTTCCAAGTGGAAAAATTTAGAACCTAAAAACAAAGTGGTCAAGCAAATTGTCCATAGGCCTACTTCAATGATTTTGCACCTTATAACAAAGCTTTAAATTAAAGTGATCTCACGGAGAAAGAGCAACGAGCCAGTGTAAACATTACCAGATTCATACATTTCTATTAAAGACCTCAGACTGTATTTGAACAACTTGAAAAATTCAAATTCGAATTTCGGTTTCCAGAATTCGTTTTGTTGCACGAGCGCCCTCTATGACTCGTGTGATACCAGGAAGTCAAATCAGGCCGCGTCGTCTACTAGAAGCAGATGCATATGTCACAGCCGTTTTCGTCCCTTCGGAGACAGTCGTCGGAGCAGGCTGGAGTGGGCGGACAATCTGGATGGGGCGGATTCAGAAAAAGAAATGAGAAGTTATTCGATTTGTGACCGCATATTGGTATCGGCAACAGTTTCGAAGGGTCGTAAGGAAGACGTAAAAGACAGTGGATCTAAAAAAAAAAAAAAGACATGACGAGACATTCACAAGATTTTGCCTGCAAATTTCAATGAAAGTTCTTCATAACATGCATGCGAATCTCAAAGGGACCAAGTTTAAAACTCTCCAGAGAAAGCAGTGCATCATTATAAAAACAAACAAACAAACAAATATGAGCGCATTGTTTGTAAAACAAAATAATGATAATAAGCAGAAGCGAAACAAAATTTGCGTAATTTGCAAGTTTTGCGCATTTATAGCACAAAAAACAATCTAATGTTCACAGTTTCGCTTCTGTGTTCGCTTTCACGTTAAGTACGAACCGGCCTTTACCGTATGGAACAAAAGCACTGGCCTGCAAAATCCGTCGACCCTTTCCAAACGCGCATTTGGTCGACAGATTTCGCTCACTGTGTTTGGTCAACGCGTTGCAAACTCTCTGAGGCGCACTCTTGTGAATGGCCCGTATTTATAAACATTTCTTGGTATACTATTACATTGGCATGAATGATTCAACGTTTGGAACTTGCTCCATCAATCTTCTGCAATATACCATTCGAAAGTTTCCTATGGATGGTTCGCAGGCCGATCTGAAAAAGCAATAATAATTTTTTTATATATCAATTTTGAAATCACAGTTTTTAGAATCATTTTTTCATAATTTATACTTGCCGGCAGAAATCCGTGTTTCACAAAACTCGCCCGAGTATTCGGCTGGACATTCGCAACGGTACATCACGTCAGTTGGATCCGTACCGGCTCTGCATGTGTAGCACACGCCTGCGTTCACGCACGGATTGGGCGTACATTGGGGCACTGCAAGTAGAAGAAAACGAGAAAGGCACCCGTGTCATACTTGTCTTGTGGTCTGAGCGATCTGGCAATGACCGCAGTGGCGTAGCCGGGGGAGGGGGGCGCTGCCCCCTAAAAAAGATGCATGGATATTGAACAAGGCTAACAAAAGCATGCCCCCCCCCAAAAAAAACCACACCAATGAAAGCTGGTGCNTGCCACCCCCCCCCGTCACTTGTAAAATCCTAACTACGCCACTGAATGACCGAGTTTTTCCTTCTGTCTGCTTACTGTTGCGATCCAAACCTTCTGCAGTGTGCATGCATTCGCGAGCATAGACATAAAAAAACTAGCCTAGGTGTTTTAGGTCTAACGCAGTGCCCGATAGTTGAAATATATAGTGTGGTACCTCTCCATGAGAAAATACTCATGATGGTAGACAAGGTTTTAAGGCCAACGAAGAAAAACAAAATCTGGTGTCAACGGAGAAAAGGAGAGCCCACTGTACAGTGTTTCGAAAAGTACAAACTGGTTCACACAAAAGAGAGATTTAAACTTCTGGGGCATTTTTCTCCCATTCATGGTTTTTGTAGCTTCAAAGAAGTTGGTATTATTACCTCGTTCAGCTCAGCACGAGACGACACTCCGAAACGAAAATTGGTATACCCTGGCACCTGTACGCCCGCGGAAGACAAAATCCAGCCCTGCGAGTACGTTCAATAATGAAACGATGTTTCCGTCCGGATTTGTTTTTCACCCAGGCTCATAACACCATCAAAATGAGCAAGCGATTACAATGACCAGCTACCTGGAATTTACCGTAAGGTATATACCTGAGGCTCTTGCGACCAGGAAGTTGCAGCCGATTAACATCAAGATGAAGGTGGACACCATGATGATGGAGAGAAGAGACACTTGGCTGTCACGTTGAAATGTACAAATGTGTCCACTCGTCAGTGGACCTGTGCTCTTAAATGCTTGCCGTCCAATCAGTTGATGCATTGAGAGCATTGTCGACAAAGTTTATTATGCATCTCACGACCTGTGGTGGTTTTTTTTCGATATTGCAATAAAACCAAGGTTACACGGAAGCACGAGATTATACTTTTAAAAATTTAAAGTGCATTAATAGCACAGAGAACTCAATTGAAATGCACTTTTTAATGATGAGACTCGGCTCCATAAATTCTTCTTCAGTGAGCACAGCTGTGTTGCTTGTTGCGCAGCAGTCCCGGTCTGGGCAGGCAAGCCTGATTATTTACTGTACGCAGGCCTAGCTGCAAAATCGTACTGAAAACCCCGTTCTCGCGTGTTCGGGTTAACAAAATGACGAGAGCCAACACAAGATCTGTAAAATTCAAAAACTGTCACGGGCAACATTATGATAAACACCGGCACCCCCACTTCAAAACAATCAGGAAAAACATACAAATGTCACACGTGTGCAAGACATCCATGAAATTAAAGCTCGTTGTCACAACACGACCTTTTCCCATTCAGTTTCGGCTGGGTTAGGCAAAGCGAGTCGTGAAGCCCATCGCCATTTTGACGCCTTACTCCATCGAAAAATAGAGCCACTTGGAAGGCTCTGTTTTCTCCAAATTTCTCGGAAACACGAGCCGGCAATTGATGGATAATTCGGTTCTTCACTCTACTCTGACAGCAGGGAATTCAGAACGTCCAGAGCAAAGATGGCACATTTAGGCACAGACTCCAACTTCAATAATATCAGGCAAAATACAAGTCTTTGTATGGAACAATCCTGCAGTATCTATGACGATAAATACTTTCAAAACCATATGCGTCTAACCGTACAGACACAAATTCAATCTGTCGCTTCGGGATAACTTCTATGCATACTGTTCAGGGGATTTTATGATCATTACCGAAGCAATAAATGTGCGATGACACGGTACTGAACTACGTACCTTTAAAACCTGACGGGGACTGCATGGGCGACGGTAGCAATCTGACTCGCGTGCTAATGTGGTTACGCCATCACATTTCAAGATAACCTTGTAACATTTTTTCTGTTTATTTAGGCAAAAGAGTTCGACTATCATCGCAGAGTTCATGAAGGAAATGACTGAATTTTTGGCATCTTCAGCCGCTTCCATTGTTCAGCGTTTACACTTGTCATATGGTCATATTAAACGGTAGCTGATTATTTAAATTTGTCGCGCTTCCTCGGAGTCTCCATCGAGTGGGGCTTATTGCTGGGTATTGAAATCAGTGCGGACACGGGGAAAACCCAGAGAGGACAGAATTTACTTGCGAGGATTTCCTTTTTTTCGTGCCTCTGTGCCAAATATTCAACGCGATTGGGCATTTCTGCCGCGCGCGAAGAATAGTACTGTGCGACGCTAACAGATCGTTTTCGGCTTAGGCGTAAAGCGAGACGGCAGTGCAAGCACATGGTAGTGGCCCTTACGTGCTTCCGTAGAAGAAAGGTTTGCCAGCATCGGCTGACATCAGACTGGGCCTTACAACCTCACAGTATGACCTTTAAAAAGTACCTCTAAGGAAAACACGTTTTCTCTGATTTTATCTGTTCAATAAATATGGAAGCGTCCAAATCAAGCAATCTACATTCAGCATCTTGGCATGAACAGAAAATAAGCCCTTTTGAGCTTGTTATAGTTGAGC